ATTTATTGTATCGGAAAAAAAGTGGCTGATCTCATCCTGAGTTCAAAGGCATATCGGTGATCGAAGATCCTGTTGGAATTTGTCTACCATGCAAAACCGAAAATGAAGAAAAAATAAAATAAAATTGTTCAACCAAACATGTGGGTTGACAACTGAGGTACGTTGCTCTTGCATTGTTTAAGAACTAGTATTTTGCTGCATTTTTTTTTAATCTTATTTTACTCTTCCTGTTTTGAATCTGGGAAGAATTACCGTAGAGGATTAATTACCTAAGTGCTACAATCAGCAAGAGATCATGTCCTGAATGGTAACTCTTGTACAAATGACTAATTCAAACTATCAAGTTAGATTTTTTTCCCCCATTATCCTTGTACGTATCAATTATGTCTTATCAGTTAAACATCATAATATTATCTGCAATATTTCAATCCTTTTCTTTTCGCCATATATATAAGATGTATTTTCTTATGAACAGGTTTATTTGTGCCAATCAAATTTTTTTTCCATGACATTTCGAAGGTGACAGTAGCACTTAGCTTTCCTGGTTCTATACGTTTTTTTTTTTTTTTTGGGTTATTGGTTCTATATATTCAAACAAGAAGATAATCAACATTTGATCCGAACATAACAAGAGTTCTAATAATAAATAAACAAAAGTTGTATTTCCTTTGTTTTAAAAATATAATTCAGTACAAATTTTAAAAATTAATAAAAAATTATTTTCAGACAAAACAAATATATGTTATCTTCGTTTTATTTTATTAGTTTTTTTTTTTTTTTTTGAGACGGAGATGTAACAAACACTACTTGATAGTGTGATTTTTAGAGATGCTAACTTTTCGTCAATTTGAGAAATTAAATCCATCGAGACAAATTTGGTTGGACCACCGGTGGTTATTTGTCCCCCGTAAGCTAAGATACAAATGTAGTAAGTAGTTCATGCAAGTCCATATATACACATACATTGAATTGAGTTGGCACTTGGAAGTCAAATTCAAACATCATTTTTTAAAAAAAAATTATTGAAACATTGATCTATTTAATTACTACTTGAATGTTTGAGTTTAATTTACAAAGTTTAATATAGTCAACCATGAAATATTTAATGGCGAATAATTGTGTCAATCTCTTTATCCGTGTGATGATATTAATTGAGAGTGCTTTGGTTTTGTATCCAAGGTTGAAGGTTTCGTCCTTGTTTATATGCATGGTAGTTATGTACCGGTGAAGATGATCGAACAAAGAAACAAGATATGACCTACTACCATCACTAGTTTGCCTGCACTTCAGTTTGCATCTTCTAAGTACTACAATCAGCAAGAGATCATGTCCTGAATGCTTGTATTTTTTAATATAAATTGTATCACAAATAAAAATACAAACCCGATAATTAATTATTTTGGAGGGAAGCTAGGGAGGCTGGGTGGGACTTGGGAGCATAATTTTCAAAATCCCGATCCGAATCTTAGAATCATATGATCTTGCGATCCGAAATTAGAAAATTGATCCTGGATTTTATGAAATCTTTCTTTGTAGTGGGATCTTATAGAAAATATCCTTTAAAATCCCAATCCAAATCGTAGGATTCTACGATCTAATGATCCCATTGATTTGTCGATACTTGTACAAATTGTTGATTTCGTATAAAAAAGATAGAAAAATGATTAGAAAAGATATAAAAGTTGAAATTTTGAGTTGATGATACTTCTGTGGCCACTAGTATATTTCTCCTCCATAAAATCAAATAAGAATTGAACTAACAAATTGAAACTCGCAATTTCAGAATTATTATAATATTTTAAATGGTTTCGATCCCGCCGATCCGATCCTACCGGTCCAGAATCCGATCCAGTCTTGAAACGCCAAAACGATCTTGTGTGAAATCCCGATTTTGAAAACATTGCTTGAGAGTACTACTTCCTCAACTTTTGAGAGAAGTGAAAAAACTAAAAATTTGTCATAGTACGTATTACTCTCCTAAAATTTAAGATATTAATTTATTCGTTATTACATGAATGCAAATTTTAACTATACTCTTTCCGATTCAAATTAAAGGAATATTATATGATACATATCTGTTTGTATATATATATATATATATTGTAATAATGACATTACTATCGACTTATCGTAATCTTTGTTTTTTTAGAAAAATATTTGCATATTCAAGAAAACTCTCCTTATAAAAAGAGATACGTAGACGATTGAAGAAATTAGGAGACAGCCACGAATGGGACTGACTATTGATGAGCACAAGCGATACATAGTAGCTAGGTTTATACAAATGTATAGACTCCCGAAAAACAATTGAATTGCATGTCGAAATTAAGAAATATCTTATACAGTTTTATGTAAACGCCTAAAAAAAAGTCAAATAAAAATAAAAGCATGGCCAACAAAAGTTGAACATCCAATCAAAATTCCGATCAAGGTGTAAATGTTTCGGTCCATTTTGATCTAAAACTCGAATCACAAACTGTGCAAGCTAACGGAATTTTATTTTATTTTTTTTTTTGGTTGTTTTTTTTAAAGGATTTCTGAGACCTTGATAACTTAAGGACTTTCAGAGACGCTACACTACCATGATTTTCTATCCTTTTTTTTTTTCTTTTACATAATAAAAATGCAAGTATTAACAGGATTAAGGTTCAATCAGTATAAGGTTCAATAAAAAAAAAACAGGATTAAGGAGGTGTATTCAGGTAGATATAGAAATAATTGGAGGAAGCCCTATATTGCCAAAGGTTTAGGCAGTGATTCTTATAGTACATTATGAATATAAGTATTCGGTTATTGGAGAATTGAATAACAGTCTAGTTGTTAGTACTTTGTGTTTTTTGGTATTAGACCTGGTTCAATTCCCACCAAGAATATGTAAAGAAAATTTTATCTACATTTAAGTAGGGTTTATTGGCGTAAATATATATATATATATATTTTAAAAAAATATTCGGTCACTGAGAAGAAAAACGTCTTCATTACGGTAAAGTCTTGAGTTGTGTGTGGTATAACTATGGATTCGAATCCCGACATGCATGGATAAGCTGCGGTAATTTGAATACTCGTTGGGTATATTCTATTTGGATTAAATTAGTCGGAACAATAATTTCTAACAAAAATTTCGCATGATATATCAATAATTTATATCTATCTATATCTTCTATATACTATACTAAGGCAAAAATTAGAGAGAGAAATCTAAAGTCAAGGAGCACATGTCACATAAGATTTTATCCTATGTGGCATTTTCTTAATTTTCTAGATATAAAAATGCACAAAATAACACAATAAAAACAAAAAAAAAACGCAACTGAAAAAATTCAAATTCCATAGTGATTCGACCAAATCCCTACAAATCCGATGGACGGATCTCTTCCTCCAAAAAAAAAAAAACGCAACTGAAAAATAAATTTATATTAATAATGTATTAAAATAATTAAAGAAGTTAGACCAACATGAAACTTCTATAATTTAACTTTAATATGGAATTGAGTTAAAATACTATGGTGATGGGTTAATGCAGCGGGGCTAAGAATTGCTCTGGCAAAGAATAAAAATATTAAAAGGCTTCAATTATGGCTATTCTTTCTTCTTTTTTTTTAATGTTTTGAAATCCAAATTTTTAGAAAAAGGTCCTGATATCCAACATTTTTTTTTTATTTTTCTTATTAAAAAATTAGATGGTCTCTACAACAGGTTAGGGTTGTTGTTTATGTCATAAACCTTTTAAAAAAAAAAAATTCCTTATCATAATCTCTTAACAACCCTAACCAATCTTTCCATCCCAGGCTACCAATGTAGTCTACCAAGAAATATTGTAAAATATATAATTATTTAATTCAAAGTTCATATCTATGTATATGTGATGGACGGGTCTAACACCTAGTAATAATAATAATAATAAAAGTTATAGAATTCATTCCTATTGAGTGGAGTTTTATGGGTAAAAAAAAAAAACAAATTTAATTAGTTACAGAGAGACTGTATGCTTCCAAAATTAGGGTGAACATGCATTAGCTGAAAAGTGTTATCTATCTCCAATGATCTTCGCAGCAGTTTGACTTATATGTATATGGTATCTTTACTCATGAAAGTCATACGTTACCTCTTTTGTAATAGTCAATATATTCGATGTTTAAAATTACTATCTTGAATTAAAAATTTAATTGTTCAACAAACTAAATAATGCTTAAGTAACTATGAAAGTATGAAACTCAACAGTAAATATTTCTTAGATAAGATTTTGGGCATGGATTTTCCTTGTACGAGAAGTAGTAAAATGCAGCCAGACAAGAACGACTATCTTTATTATTTCAAAGAAAAAAAAACGACCATCTTTAATTAACAGAAGAAAATGGGCAGCCATTGTCCCAAGGCCATTATTAATTACATTTCCGCATTGCACAACCTAAAAGTATACTATAAAGAATTTTTTTTCCCCTCTCTTAGATGTCAAAATCATAGTCTCCTTTCGTTGTGCGGCTAAACGTAATTAATCTTTATAAATTCTACTATAAAGTACCTTGGTAAATTAGTGATGAATTCTTTTCATTTTTTCACTTGCACCTTAAAAAGAACCGTCCATATTCATTTGGAACGGAGGCACTATTATATTTTCTTAGTACTTCCTAAATTAAAATTGAAAATTTAAACAGAATAATTATTTTAAACAGACGAGGTATACAATATTCGGAATGAATAAACAATAAATAAAAACAATCATAAATATACCTTCAAGGAAAGGTATTATCCATTATAATTTTTAACAAGTTGATCCCAAAACCATCTTGAAGATGAAGTATGTACCATTCCCCAATGCCACCATTTGCACTTTAATTCGTTTGTTTACTCGTCCCTTTGGGAGATTCTTTTATATTGTCCCAACTAAACTAACACACACACACACACACACACACACTAAACTAGAAGGACAAAATAAGAACCATCCATATAAAGCAGACGCATTTAAAACTTTGCTCGTAAAAAGCAAAACAAAAATTTCTTAATCAGCTGTAGGATGAAGAAAAATATGCATAATAATTCCAACATTAGACATTAAGATGCGGTCTTATAGATTAAGACATTTTTGCTGTTTGAGATTATTTTATCCAATATCCACTAGCTCAAAAGCGTTGAATTCGTATATAAAGTGTCCCCCAATAATTTTTTATTTTTTTTTCTCCATATTGGCTAGTAACATTAGTGTCCTCCTGGATCCTTCAATGAATGGATTTTGGTAATGGCATTGACAAAAACCCAGAAAAAATTTCCGGTAGTTGTTATCAGGGGAAGAAATTATTCATTCTGGGCTTTTATATATCATCATCATTTTGGCCTTCCCAATTCATACACACCAAACTCTTATCTAGTTTGACAATTTCTTCTAAGGCTTTATCTTCTTCCCATTAGGTTTATTTCAGTGTTCTTCATCTATAAAAAAAAGTGTAAACTATCACTTTTTAGCAGAAGGCTCAAAGTAGCTGAAATCCAAATGCAATTTTTGATTTTCAAACAACCCTTTTCGTTTTTACCATAGATATTGCATCTTCTTGAGTAAAACTTTTGTACTAGTTCTAAAATTATGAGCAATTCAGCAGAGCCAAGGATGAGAGCCATGTTCATTTTGGCCTATGATAGAGGCTAGCTGATTCTATTCCCCTCTTGTTTCTTTCACAAAATTGACCCTTTTAAATCTTGTAGTCTTTCTCTTGTGTTTCCTTTTTCTGTGTTTTAGTTACATAAGATTTTTTGTTATATGGAGGATTCAATGAAGGCAACTACTGGGAGAAAGAACTCTATGATCAAGAAATTCTTGCAATCTCTTAGAGGTGGCGGTTTAAAATCTCCAGAAATGGTTTGCAATAGTACTTTACCAAAGAGCAAATCATGGCACTCTTCAACTGCTGCCAATAAGATGATGATTTCCAGAACCAACAAGCAGAAATCAACAATGAAGACCCCAAATGGGTGTTTCTGTGTATATGTTGGGGAAGAGAAGCAGAAATTTGTGATCAAAACAGAGTGCGCAAATCATCCCCTGTTCAGGATGCTGCTTGAAGATGCTGAATTGGAATATGGGTTCAACAGTGATTCCCCAATCTTAATCCCATGTGATGTTGATCTTTTCTACAAGGTTCTGGCTGAGATGGATACTAAGAAAGATGATGATGATTATGGATGTGGTTCTTGCAGTCCCTTTAATAATCCAATTAGGCGTTTGGGAAGAAATACTGATATGGGAAAACAGGGATATGGTTCCTATGGAGTTCTTACTCCATCTCGTTTGTTGAAATTGAACCATTTCTGAAACTCTGTTTTTCCAAGTGTAAGTGATGATTATAGTTAATTTAGCTAGTGTATGGTACCAAGTTATTAGTTTAGGAAATAATCATGCATGTATAAACTTTTGAAATATTCAATGATGTTCTCTCTTTTGATTTTGTTATTATTATTATTATTACTTTTGGGTATGATGATAAAGGAGACATTCTGCCTAAATTAGAAATTTAAACAATGTGTGAGTGATAACGTGAAATACACCGAAACCATCATGTTCGAGTCATGGTTTAATACCTTTTTGTAATCATGCAACTACTGAAAGATCCCAGGTTGATGCAAGCTATGGTAAATAATGTGCTGTAAAATTGCCTGTAGATGTATGTTTCACTTCAACCTCAAAGCTATACCTATACGCAGCACGAATGTGAAAATATTTTTTTAAGTTTTTTTATCGATTAAAAATGTGTACGAAGTGAAACCTAATAAAAGTTAAAATGCCTTATAATAAGGATCGGAAGGAGTATTATGAAGGAAACTACCACAATTTGGTTGGGATAGTGGAGGCTGTTATTCATTATTTCGGTTTAGGTCGAATGAATAAGATTTTTATTTTGAAATATAAATTAAGGAGAAGTTATAAGTAGTTTTATTACTACTAACAAATCATATTGATTATTGGTCCCAATAAATGAGTTTATTTTGTTTTATTATTTAGTTTAACCAACATTTTTACCCAATTTCAAAAAAGATTTTTACCCCATTCTTGGAAAGGAGCAAGTGTAGCTTTCCATGTATTTCTTATTAAAAAAAACTCCTACTATATAAATATATAAAGCCTAGTTTGTACTCTCTCCATTCCAAAATAAGTATCGTTTTGGCAAAATGGAGAAATTCCAAAATAAGTGTCGTTTTCAGATTCCAATGCATTTTTTGTCAAAAATTTCCAAACATACTCTCAAAAGAAATAATATTATTGGTGAGCATTTATTTTAATGGGGTTGGTTGAGGATATTCTAGTAATTTAGCTACCTTATTTAATGTTTTCTTAAACTATGTGTAAATTCTGGAATGACACTTATTTTGGAACGGAAGGAGTATTATTATTCATCATAGTTTCATTGTTTGCTCCCGACTCGGAAGTCAGAACAGTCTAAAAGACACATGTATTCTAACAAACATGTGTGTTTCTTTTTTCCCGTAAAATGAAGAATGCAACAGTATTAAAACTTTAAACTAAAACAAATTGCGAGCAAAATTTTTCGACCACATTGTATTATAATTACAACTAGATGCTTGTCCCGGGTAAATGTCCGGGGCGTCTTCCCACCTAATAAATTAATATGTAAATAATCAAAACTGATTAAGAATGAATTTAGTTTTTGATGAAGATAATTGATTGATCGAAAATTAATTTTTTAGAAAGTCCTAAGTAAGTGGAGAATGAAAGTTCCATTCACTGTCAAATTCAAAATTTGAATGAACATGGCCATCTAATCTCTTTGTTAATATTGTAAATATATTTTTTGTTTTTAAAAGGAGGTGACACGTGGCAGAATGGTTTATGCAATATGGTGCATTTGGAGCCAAAACCTTTTAATAAAAAATTGCCACATCAGCATCCTATTTTCTGCATTAATAATGTAAAAGGGATTTGATACTATCGGTAGGGCATATAATAATTTCTACAAATTCATCTTCACCCCTTCTTCGCTCGTCGATTCATGATATTTGATCCCTACAAAATGTTTCCTTGAAATAACGAACCAGGCTAGCTTGTAATAATTAGAGATATTCCACAATACTTCGTCACGATTAAATTAGGGTTATGGAATAAGAAATCGATACTCCTAGCTCTATAAAACCAATATTAATTATCATTACTTTTGAGTGGTTTTTGGTTGCACGACTCTTGTGTAATTTGGACATGTAAACTTAGGGTATTTCAATTACCAAACGTATCGGCGGCGGAACTTATCTGAGTTCCAAAGCATGTTCGTCGAAGACCCTGTTGGAATATGGCGGCTATCAGACAATAAAGCTTAAGAGATTATCAAAACGTTCAAATACCAAACGTGTGGGGTTGACAACTGAGGTAGCTCATGCTCATGCATTTCAATATTTTTTTCAACTACTTAATTTACCTATATTTTATTAACAAAAAAACTACTACATCAAGAATCTAGTTAGATACAGCTTGCCCATACCCTGACAAATTTGATGAGCTATTTTGCTTCAATTATTTTACTAATCTGGCAAGAAATTACTGCAGGTATGATATACCCAATGAATACATGATACTCTTCTTGACTCAAAAAATAATCCGTATAATATTCAAAACTCAATACAAAACAATACAAAATTTAAAATTATATGTGAATTTTACTCTTTTTTTTTTGGAACAGAAGTAATACATTCAGAGAGATTAATACTCAACTGTTGAAAATCTCCAATCCCTCCTAGCAAAACTAACCGTACGAGTTAATTTTATTTTTTGATACACCTGTCTTAAACGAATCAATCTAAAGAACTTGATGTAGGTAAGCGTGATCGCAAATATACATATTTATTGATAATAGTAGAAGAAGTCGTTAAACCAAATTAAAGAGTGTCATGATTAATATAGTGTTTGCAATTGTATGAGTTTAATTTAGAGCTAGTAACTGTATATGTGTAGATCGAGAGGTGATCAGTATCAGAACTGAATGCGTTCGATGGAGACAAATTTCATTGGACCACAAGTTCTGGTTTATTGGCTGCCCATAAGCTGCAATTGTAGCAGTATTTCATGCAAATGGAAATATACATACAGAACATGCAAAAACATTGAATTTGAGTTGTCAATCAAAATCAAACATCAATTTTATCTTTATTATTTTTTTGGACGTTCGATCTTATTACCTTGAGTCTTTGACTTTGTTTCCTTAGACATAAAACAATGATAGCTAGATATAGTCAACCACGGATTTTTTTTTTATTTTTAATGACGAATAATTGAGGCAATCTCTATAGCTGTATGATGAAATTTGAATGTACTGTTATCTTTCTGTCCCTGTCATAAGATATTTTTTAAAGTTTTTTTTGATTTTATTTATAAGACATTTGATATTTTTAAAGTTTCGTCTATATATATTTTCAATTTTACACCTACTTAAGTAGACTAAACTTTAATTTGATTGGTTCCTATATTTTACGTACGAAGTGTGGAAACATTTTTAATATAAGTAATATAAGTAATTTATTAAAAAATAATTAAATTAATTATTTTCATACCTTTTTAGAAATAATTATTTGTAGTATCTTATGTTAAGGATTAGAGGCGGTATATTCTATGGAGTCAACAGAACATAATAATTTGGTAGCATCAAAACCACTAGTATTTACATGGGAGTTTATCTTGCACGAAACCCTCATTTTGTACTTAGATGGGCTTTTTTTTTTTTTTCCCCAACGAAGACGTGATGGTGTAGTAATCAATTTGTATTTAAAAATACTTCTCCATTCCCCTATTACTGCAATCAATTTTTATTTTTGATTTTCAGAAGCGTACGTACCAGACTTGAACATCCGACCAAATGAAGATTGTTTTAGTCCATGTTGTATAATTTTATGATCATGAATTAAGTTAGCAAGTCCAAGAGTCTTGCTGAGTTTTTATGAATATATAATATCTATATTATATATATATTTACAAGAGTCAAATTCATGTATTAGTTCATATTTATCTTCTACAAATAATAGTTGAATCGGTTTTAGTACATTTTATGTTTCTACCATATCATATACTCCCTCTGTCCTAAAATTATTGTCCAATTTGAAATTTCATATTTAGTACACTTTGAACTAGAAATAAAAACTTAAACTGAACAATAATTATGGGACGAAGGGAAGACATATTATCCACGCTTCCGTTTTAACAGTTCAAATTTGATGGAGAATGAGAATCTTAAACTGTCCCGCTAATAGTTTAATTAGCTGTAGTGATCATGTTCCTATAAAATAAGGTAAACATATATTTTCTGAAAATTGATTTTGAGGGCAAATGATCTCAGTAATTTGACGTAAGTATGGACATGCTACTCATGATGCCGAACGTCACCATTTTGATATAGCCAATATTTGATTGCCCAACAAACTGAAAGATATATTATTAGTATTTAACTTTAAACCCAACACTTAATTAAATTATTTTCTAAAAAAGAAAAAAAAATGTCTTAGATTTTATGAACCAATTTCCCTCTCTCTGTCCACCCAAAATGAATAGGTACTTTTAACTTAATCCTCGTTGAAGAGAAAACCAGTCATTGTGTCACAAGAACACCATTACTTAAATCATGAATTTTAACCAAAAAAAAAAAAATTACTTACATCATGAAATGCACATAAACATTTTATGATATTTCATTACTTCTTAGTTATATAGTACTGTTACCGACAATAAAATACATGCAAGTGATAAGTAACGAATTTTCTTTTTTTTTTTTTTAATCATTTTCCATGGATACAATTTTGAGTCATCAAATTAACTGTTACACAATATAGAATACTGTGAGAAACAAATACTGCACTATCATCCAAAGGCTATCTAACAATTATAATATAGGGATCCTAGGCTATCTAGCAAGGTGTACCTAAGGTGAAACTTACGCGACCAAAAAAAGGAGAATTCCCAATATTTACAACAATGCCATCCGAGTGTTTACACGCGCCCATTAATATCCCCATTATGTGCGATTTTTTGATTTTCAAATCTTGATAACCATCATTATTTCCTAATTTTCAGCCATTATTGATGATCCAACATTCCATTCGATCTATTCCATTACTCCCCAAATAAAAAAATAAAAAAAACCGAAACCCGAAAAAGTCAATCCTGCGGCGATACATTTAGAGAAGCTACAGTCGGTGGGACTTCCGAAGTCTGAATCGAATCATTCATAAAAAACGGTAATTCTGATTACAAGTTACAATACTGAAGATGAGGATTAAGGTGTATTCTGGTCAAATTCATCGATTTTTCTGTGTTTATCCATTGTTGTTTGATTCTGGTTTGATGAATGTTTTTTCTCTTAAAATATTCATGTAGATGCCTATGGCTGAGGATTCGGAACTGAGTATGAGCAAATCGGAGGATGAAAGGGAAGCGAGGTAATACAACTACTCTCTTCAATCATTGGTGTGGTTTTTTTTATTTGGGTTATGTAGATCTAAGGTATGTTCACTCAATTAACGATGTTTGTTCATCAATTTTAGAGATATGTTCTTCGATTTGTTTTTTTTTTTTGGTAAATTAGAAGATCTGAAAATTATTCATCACTTTGGTATAATTAGTCATTGTTGAAATTATCAGATTCATCGTTTTCATAACTATTGAAATTATCAGATACATCAATTTTAGAGTTTTGTTCTTCTATTGGATGTTATTTTTCTGGTAAATTGGTAGATTTGTGTATTATTCATCAGTTTTGGTATAATTATTCATTGTTGAAATTGTCAGATTCATCGTTTACCATAATTATGTAGTATTTTTTTTTTGGTAAATTATTAGATCTTTGCATTATTCATCAGTTTGGTATAATTATTCATTGTTGAAATTACCAGATTCATCATTTACCATCACTATATAGTATTTTTTTTTTTGGTAAACTACTAGATATTTGTATTATTCATTAATTTTGTATAATTATTCATTGTTGAAATCGCTAGATTCATCACATCTGACAAGTTATTCATGGAATTTGTAAATATATTGTAGCATGAGCGATGAATATCATACACAATCTGAAAGAAGCATGAGCGAAGAACAACATTCAGAAGCCAAAAGAAGCAGGATATCTGAATCTGCAAAAAATCAAACCACAATAAGTGTAGATATTGATATAGAGGGTTATTCATCAGTTTGGTATAATTATTTATTGTTGAAATTGTTGTATTCATTAGTTTGGTATAATTATTCATTGTTGTATCGCACCTACCTCTTGAATTTTTTACTCTTTGTTTGCTACATGCAAATTGTTTCCAATATACAACACCAGATTTGGACATTTTCCAATCTTTGAACTTGTTTATTAAAAAAATCAATGTGCTTTGTGTAAGAATTATAAGCAACAAAAGCCTCTTCTTCATAGTTGAAACATCGTCCAATTAGCAAAACTTCTGTTATTCATCACTAACAACTCGTTATTCATTAGTTAACATAAGATATTCATCGTAAAATCGTAATAATATAATACACTATCGGTCAAAAAATAACAATGAACACCCTATTCATCAATAACCATACATTACGCATTACTTTACGCCACGAGCGACAAGAAGAAAACTAGTTTTAAAAAAATAATCTCATAAAATAAAATAATATAAAAGCTAACATGATAAGCATTAAAAAAGATAACATTTGAAATTAAACATGTGATAAAAAAAGGGATAAAATTTTGAGGAATTAATTCACGTAATTAAAATTTGGAGGAAAAAAGAGATAACTTTTGATTACGTAATTAAACTGATGATTTGCATAATAAATGCGCGTGTGGACTCCTTTTTTCGGACTCAATTATTCCAATTTCTCTTCCCCCATGTGTGGTGCACGCACTGCCTAGGCACACCTTGCAAGGTGCACATAGGATCTTAATATTATTTGCCGGCTATCTAGAAATTATTTATACCTAACTTAAATGGGTAGTAATTACTAGTACTAGACTTCTTTCATTTCACTTCATTTATTGAGTTAAACGTAATCTTCCAATTCTGGGTTACACATTTTGGTATTGATGACTCCCTTTCTCTTAAAGCAGTACGAATTAGTATATTTAGGCTCTGTTTGGTAATCACTTAATATAATGACTTAATTTATTTAAGTACTTAATTAAATTAAGTATGTTTGATAATCTCTACTAAAATATCTTAATTAAATAAGTTCTGAACTAATTAAATACTTATAAATTAAGTGCGTTTGATAACTAAAATTTTACTGTCTGAATTAATTAAGTGCGTCTGAATGACCAGTTCAATTGTGAGCAAGAAAATAAGTGATAGGCGTACCACTTATCACTTATTACTTAATACTTAATCTCTAAAATGGCTCTTTTTTTTCTTTTATTTTTTCCCCTTTTTTTTCATTTTCTTTATTTCGACGTTTATTTTTACATTGTTTTAAAATTTTTATTTTCTTAAGATAAATTAATTAAGAGTTCTTAAATTTGAATTTATATATGAGTATAAAAAATCTCAAACTTTTCAAACTCAAATTAAACTAATTTTATTACATAAAATTTGCTAAATAACAAGGTATACATATATATATATATCGATATATGTAAATCATTTAAATTTAATTATGTATTGATTATTTACAAAGTGTAAGATCTACTTTCATTATATATACTAAAAATTTATTTTAAAATTATTATTTTATTATTTAGAATAAAACATTAGTTATTTTTCTATTTAAAAGAATTTCGTTTATGATTCAATTTTAATGATATCAAAAATTTAAATAACTTTCAGACCTGAGTAGTTTCAATCTCCAGACTTCAGACTTCAGTCTTCAGACATCAAATTCAGATGTTTTTATCAAACAATGTAAATTCAGTTTTCAGACTTCAGACTTCAGTGTTAAGTATTAAGTGTTCAGATTCAGACTTCAGTGATTATCAAACGGAGCCTTACTATCATGTCTTGGTTTAAGACTTTAACAAACACATATATGATTTTATTTATTTATTTTTTTTGGAAGACAGAGAATAATACTTTAATGGCCTGCTCCAATTCTCGTCCTCTATTTATGCAGTTTTTACTGATTACATAATTACCTTTTTGTTAGTTTCATGAATCGAAATAAATTTAAAAAGTCAATACTAAATACTGAATATGTGTGTTTAATGAACCATTCTGTTTGAACCGAAGGAGATATACAAATCATATATCGGAGGGTTAAGTCCTCGAGGGCAATTTTTATGGTGAACCTTGTGTACCATATATGGTACATTTGTCTAATTAATACAATCTAATTATGAAATGAAAAATTTAAAAAAAAATTATTAAATCAATTCATTCTCTTTCATAATTTAATTCTCATACCATGCTTTTAAATATAACAGAAACAACATTCTAATAATTTTATAACGCTTTCTTCTATTCATAATTACTGACTATTTCCTCTATTAATGACGTAGTTTGAAAATTAGGAACAATTTAAATTTAATTAAAAGATCATGAAATTTTGATATATATGTCATGAAAAATATTATTATAAGTCATGAATTTTTCATAGAATGAGTATGAACTACAAATATAAGGATTCTAAATATTTAATTAATATTTTTATGTTCTTATTAGTATGAAAATTTACATAATTCTCATGAAATGTGTATGAATATAGACTGCTTAATTTGCATTAGTCTTTCAATTCTCTAAAAAAAAAAAACATTGTGAAATTTGGATACACATGATATGATATGAAAATTATCATTGTTATTCATGAATATTTCAGGAAAAGAGTATGAATATTTATTGTTCATATGATTAATCTTTTGAAATTTCTCTAATTTGTATGAATATTTAGCATAATCTTCATGAATAGTCATAGTTGTATGTATGATAGAAGATTAAAAATATTACAACCTTTAACTTATAATTATGCGTATATTTGTATGATATGATATGAAAATTATCATTGTTATTCATAAATATTTCAGGAAAAGAGTATGAATATTTATTGTACCTATGATTAATCTTTTGAAATTTCTCTAATTTCTATGAACATTTAGCATAATCTTCATGAATAATCTTAGTTGTATGTATGATAGAAGACTAAAAATATTACAACCTTTAACTTATAATTATGCGTACATTTGTTATGAAAAATATGCTTCTCATTCATGAATTTTACATTTTATAATCATGAACTTTTAGTTTTTGTATGAATAGAAATATATTAATAACTAAATATTTCTTCCTTTTTAATTTTTTTGTAATCACGTAATTGATTTGAATATATGATATATGATATTAAATAAGGAAGAAGGATTGACTAATTTAATACTAGTAATATTTTAATTAATAATTTATTTCTTAAATAGTTTATATTAATTAGACCTGTGCACCAAATATGGTGAACCATGTGCACCATATAAGAACTCAAGAATACTATATTATAAAATTATATGTTACTTCACACATTACTAATAAGTTTAGAGTTGGACACGCTCAAATTCTGATAAATTTGATCATAATTTCGATTTCGAATAAAACTATCTTGAAAATGAATTACCACCAGAGAACTAAATTATAAACAATCACATAAAGTAAATTAAGGACAAATAATAAGGGACGGACCTAGGGGAGCAAAGGGGGTCGTCGACCCTGCCGTCGAAAAATTCTTTTTGAAAAAATACTTTAGAAATTTTATATATATTTTTTTAAAAAAATTCTAGTTATAATAGATCCTGCAAATATTCGGGCCTGGTTCGTATATGTACAAAATTTCAATGTCCAACATTAGATACAATGTCAAGGTTGATGAAGACATTAATTTGCTGTTAGAGGGTGTTTGTCCACTACCCCCAAGGCGTTGAATTGTGTATGCAAATTAGTGGCCCCAATTTTTTCTTCTTCTGATATTGGCAACTAGTAATCTTTTAAACATTAATATCCTCGATCCTTTTCTTTTGATGAAATGGATTTGGTAATGGCAGTTTCTGCGTTGACAAAAAAATAACCAAAACAGAATTCTGGTAGTTAACAGGGGGAGAAGTGATTCAGTTTAGGCTTTTATACAGCGTTGCAGTCTTTTCGAATTCATAAACTAAAAACTCTATTATCTCCATTGACAATGTCTTGAAGGCTTTATCTTCTTTTTCCATTTGGTTCATCTATAAATGCAAATAATGGAGAAAATCCAAAATAGCCCGAAAATTTGATATGCAAAATTTGATTCTCAAGCAACCCTGTTTGTTTTTACCATAGATATATTGAATCTTGTTGATTATCTTTTTAGTTCTTTAAGAAAATTATGAGCAATTCAGCCAAGCCAAGAATGAGAGCCATGTTTAATTTGGCATATGACAGAGGCTAGCTGATATATATCCCTCCTTTTTATTTCAATCAAATTGACCCTCAAAATCCTCCTCTTTTCCTCTGTTTTATTCTTTCATCTTTTTTTTTCTTTCTTTTTGGTTTTTGCATAAGAATCGTTATTGATGGAGGATTCCATGACTGCTAAGAAGAACTCCATAGTTAAGAAGTTCTTGCAGTCTCTGACGTTTCCTCGAGGCGGCGGCCGTGGTTCAAAATCTTCAGAAATGGGCTGCAGTAATAATAGTTTACCAAAGAGCAAATCATGGCACTCTTCAACTGCCGCCAGTAAGATGATGATTTCCAGAACCAACAAGCAGAAATCAACAACAAAGACCCCACATGGGTGTTTCTGTGTTTATGTTGGAGAAGAGAAGCAGAAATTTGTGATAAAAACAGAGTGTGCAAATCATCCCCTGTTTAAGATGCTGCTTGAAGATGCTGAATTGGAATATGGGTTCAACAGTGATTCCCCAATCTTAATCCCATGTGATGTTGATCTTTTCTGCAAGATTCTGGCTGAGATTGATTCTACTAAGAAAGATGATGATGATTATGGATGTGGTTCTTGCAGTCCCTTTAATAATCCCAATAGGCGTTTGGGAAGAAATAGTGAAATGGCAAAACAGGGATATGGGTCATATGGAGTTCTTACTCCATCTCGTTCGTTGAAATTGAACCATTTCTGAAACTCTTCTTCCAAAGTGTGTAAATGATGATTATGGTTTTAGCTAGTGAAGGTACTACATAAGTACTTTTGTTTGGTGGCTTGTTTAGGGGGATTATCATGCATACATGATCACTTAATTTTGGAAACAATGATGGATGATTCTTCTTCTTCTTCTTCAATTCTTCGTTCTTTTAAATATATGTGCATCGTTCTTATCAAAGTTGGATGATGATTAAACTTCTATACAAGATGAATCGATTATCTTCAGCTTTCTGTCACAGAAAATCAACTCAATCCGATTACTAACGAATTGATTATCTAGTGCCTCCAGTAAAACATCTTTATTTTTTCCTTTACCCCCCCTTACCTTGAACTTGGATTCAACGTGGGGAGTATTAAATTTGTCCGGGGGAAGGGAGGCGTGACTTGTTTAACCGAGGGATATGAACGACGGTGTGTGTCCCGCGATCTAAAACTGGAATTTCGATAGTTTTGCGTCCCCAAACTCCTTCGATGCTTTCAACTTAGGGTGGTACTAGTATTTTCCTTGGATATATATATCCAATTCTTGCATGTTTGGACTTGTTGAAGACTCTTTGACCTAACCTGTAGGGATGATTCTTGATTGGCCTTTAAAGCCCTCTGAAGTGAATCAAAGTTCTCCTTCGTTAGACTTCTTTTGGATATCCACGTTGTTGAGTCTCTTACCTCACTCTTTTTCTTGCCCCATTTTTTGCTTCTTTGGGCTTTTGTGATTTTGTTTGTTTTGCAAAATGGGAAGAAAGCACAAGTAATGGGCCGATGTACTGGGCTGTTGTACATGAATTATAACCACTAGACAGAATTGGAACATATTCTTTGTTTTTTAAATTTTCCCACCGGGAGACCCATTATGGTGTTATTCTTCTTTTTCATCGTTAAAGCGACTCTCCAGCAACAAACAACAGAACGCAGTATTTATTTAACAACTCTGCTCTCAATCAATATCTTTTTTTCTTTCCGATTTTGAAGAGAATATGTAAAAATGGTTTTACTATTTGACTCCTAGTTCTACTTTCTCCTCCGACGCATGAACTGGGGGGTGCTCGACCAAATAATAGGGGCAAACATAGGCTTTTTCGGCTAGCCGGGGTGCTCCAGCCCATGCAAGCCCCAACGAAGGTCCGCCCCTGTTATCGTTGTAGGACTTTAATTGCTCTGATAGCGATTCCACAGATCTTGTCCATCCATTATAATAACGTATGAAACATAAACTAATGACTTTCCAATTCCGCTAAATTTGGTATGTCACATTAGTTTTTACGAGCACTTCATTCGGCTAAATTGGGTGGACCAAGGAACGTGGCCCTAGCGTTGTTGGTTTGGAATTACCACTTCCTAGAATAAATGAATAGTATAGGATGGTCCCTCAAAATATCGGACTAAGCAAAAATGTGTACTTTGAATTTACTGACTTATGACATGTTCATCTATTTATGGGAATACTCTATTGTATAATTTGTTAAAAATTATAGTTTAATGTTTTTGTTTTGTCATACTTTCATGAAAATAAAATAAATACAGTTAAAGAAAACATTAAAACACATTTGTACATACATCATTACTAAATAAAATAGTACACGACAATGATAATGCTCATAGGGTCTTGTAATAATGGGTCATCATCTCCTGCAGCCGCTTTGTATATTCATCAGCAAGACCCCGATCGATCAGTTTCACCTCATTGACCATATTCCTTGTAAGCTTCCTCAATTCATTCATCCACTAAAAATAAGAAAAATAAATATTACTTTAGTGTATAAAAGATAAAATGGTTGTGACCTAAAAAAATTATATCATAGAAATACGACTTACGTAATCCTGGTTGCTCTTGGCTGGTGTTAAAGATGAAGATGGGTCAGTGGTCGGGAGGAGAAACGGATGGGAATACCGTCTGTACCACTCCAGGTACTCCTCCTCACACTCTCCTATGATTTCACCTAACATCATACATCTTAAACTCATATTAATGCACCCTGACTTCGAAAATCTCCTCCAACTCCTGTTTGTCACTCTTGGTGAATGCTCTACTATATGATTGGCAGATTTCGGTCCTCTGAACTCACGATTGGGGCACATAAGCTGACGGGGAATAGTCTGTACATAACCAAGCTGACGTATAACTCTCTCCAGCATGTCAGCTTCTGGATGTTCTTGCACATTATCCACCCACTGTAGCTGGTTCTTGGAACAAATCTAGACTGTGCGGGCCCAAATGGCTCCCATTTGACCTGCAAAATAATATATATTCATACGAAACTAAGCAAAAAATATTTCTTTATTAAACATATTCGAAGTGTAGTTTAGAAAATATAATGTACCTCTTTCTCGGTCAATCTGTCAATAAGCTCCCTAAGCTGCCAGTGTCAATCCTCCACAATCGTAGGACCCACATATGATGGTGGTAACCAGTCACGTGTTCTGAGTGAGCCTATAACCCTACTACTAGTATGAATGAAGATTCTCGACCCCACCAGTAACCTCATTCACAAGTGAAACACTGCACCTGCCACCACTCTTGTTCATAAACAGTGTCGAAGCTAACACTATCCACAAGAACCCAACGACCTGGGTATTCTCGTCCGCGTTTTTGCATCGCTCAATGATAAATGCACTTTTCGTCCCCCCATCTTTTGCGCGTAGCAAGATCGAGTCACCATGAATTTTTAATTAGTAAAAACTGTCCCCCTAAAATATTTTTCTCATCAATTTTAGTTGATTTAAAAGAAATTTTACAAAATTGACGGCAGAAGTCAACTCCTCGTTAATAACGAAATATTTTATTAATTTTTCTGTGGATCCTATATTCATTTGACTTAAAAAAAAAACTCAAATCAATTTTTTTTTTTAAAAAAGAACTTTTCTTTCCTCCTTTGCCCTCACCATCCAACCGCACCACCACAACCACCAACCGCCACCACCACTTCTTAAATCCGAAGTAAAGTCAGTTTTAACCAAACGATTACACTCCATCCGATTACAACACAATCAAAATTTTCATGAAGACCCACCAAACCGATTATACTAGATTTCTCCATGTTAAAATTCCAGTAAAAACGCAGTATAATCTTCATCGTTTCTGTTCGATTTGCTCCCTTCTGCCATTCCTATCTTACAATTGGGAGGTGGTGTTTGTTGTTCCAACTTTCAAATCGTCGATTTAGATCTTCCTACGGAAAATTGAATCCAGCCTAAGGTGAGATTGTATTTCTAATTTCTTTGGAATTGGAGAGATATTGAATAAAGAATGCCATATTGCTTTTCTTGGGGGTTAATAAATTAGTTTGTATTTTTTCCCCAGTTTAGTAGTGCCGATTGTGCATCTAATGTGTTTATTTTTTAGTTTCTATGAAATACACTACTAGAATATTCAATTGACTCCACTATTGCATGCTTATTTTCAGTGAATTTTGTCATGAAGAATGAAATGTTTTTGTCCTTTTTAGGTAATCTCATTATTTGCTTGACTTGTCGGTTAATTACTGCGGGTTTTTTCTTCTTTGATTTCAATTCCGGAGGTAGACCCCAGGCTGCATCATTTTTATTTAACAAAATGCAGGAAGAAGGGATTTAACCTGGAAAGGTAGGCGGTTAATTAATACAAGTGGAGAAAATGACTTGTGTGTAGAACATTTTATTAAAGTTAACGGTTCCAAATTGTGTTGGGGCAATATGTGATTCTTTTGCAAAATCTTGTCTCTCACAAACTGTCGTTGCAATATCATCAATCTGATACATCTATACTATGTCTTCTTGAAGGTTAGCTGCAAAGTCATGATAAACATATATGTGACGGCCGAGCTTTATAACGAAGTGGAGGAAACTGTGCTCAGAATAAGGAGAAACGAATGTCCACCTGATTATATTTTCAATGGGAGTGGTGGTGTGGCTACGGGGTGTCGGGGGCGACGGTGAGAAGAAGCATGGGTGGCAGGAGAAAGAGTAAAGAAAAAAAAGCTTTTTGATTTTTTTAATTATATTAAATTTTAATTAAAAGAAATAGAAAATATAATTTTTTTGTAAGGTCAAACTAGTGGGCCTCACCATCAAAAAAATAATAAATTAAATACTTAACGGAAAAAAAAGTTTGACCGTTAAGTCTTTAAAAATTCTGTTAAATTGATTAAAATTGATGAGGAAAATATTTTGGGGACTGTTTTTACCAATTGAAAATTCATGGTGACTCGATCTTGCTATCGTCAAAAGTTGGGGGACGAAAAGTGTATCCGGTCCTTTCTTTTTATACATATTCGACTTGTAGTTTAGAAAATATAATGTACCTCTTTTTCGGTTAATCTGTCAATAAGCTCCCTAAGCTGCCATTGTCGATCCTACACAACCGTAGGACCCGCATATGATGGTGGTAACTAGTCACGTGCTCTGGGTGAGCCTATAACCCTACTACTAACTCGCCTGGCTTGGGGCCGAAAACATGGAAAACACTCGTATATCCATGCCTGTAATAGGGTTAAACAACCACAGAACTAAGTGCACTTTACTCTGCTAGCAATCGCTAGCTGATAGTACATGAACGCCAGTGTAGCGGAATCCCACGAGTTTGAATGAAGATTCTCGACTCTACCAATAAGCTCATTCACAAGTGAAACACTGCACCTGCCACCACTCTTGTCCATAAACAGTGTTGAAGCTAACACTATCCACAAGAACCCAACGACCTGGGTATTCTCGTCCACGTTTTTGTATTCCTCCTTTCAGCTGGTCCCTAATTTGAATTATCTTCCTCTAATACCAGCTACAATCCATAGGAGGTTGATAATTCTGGAAATGTTGCTTCTTGATATAGTATATATGGACCTATTTTACCCAAAGGCTTTCATTTTTACTAGCCAAATCCCAAACCTGCTTCCCAATTAAAGCTCTGTTCTAAACTTTTGGATTTTTAACATGCAAACCACCCTGGGATTTCTCTTTACAGACTTTTGACCATGCCACCAATGACCAGCTTTTTGCCGACTCCTTAGTTCCCCAAAGGAAGACTCTACAGACTCTTTCAACTTGGTTTATCACTTTCTTAGGGAGAATGAAAACACTAGACCAATAAGAGTGTAAATGCATTAGGACATAATTAATCAAAACTAACCTCCCCGTGTATGACAAATGCTTGGTTGAGCAAGTTTTGATTCTTCCTGTGATTTTTTCCAACATGCTCTCACAATCCTTT